TTCTTGTGTTTTAAGTCATATCTTAAGTTTGGCACATATAAATACTCCAATACTCTCACACATTATCCGCCATATAACGATGTAACTATCTGGAAAGTTTAAAGAAAATCTATCAGTCAGACCGTGAGAAAATCAAAAATATATTCAAAGTTATTCACTAAAACACTCAATTTTCGAACAGATTTGTCGTTCTGGTACCAAAATGCTTTACTACAATAAACGTACGGCGCGAGAACATATCCTCGTCCAAAGTCTGACAGTTAACAACATGCGTAGGATTCCCTCAAGGGGGAAGATCGTAATCGCCACCGTTGCTACACGTTGTATAGCATGTGGGTCGAGTGCAGTGCCGCGCCTAAGCAGCAAAAGTGTTATTTATTTATTTAAAAATTTATTTTTGTATCGCAAAAATGATGTAAAGTTTTTAATATGACGTAGAATTGAATTAAAGTTATTTCCGTGCAGCTTAAGTATGCTCGTTAGAAAAACTATGAACATGCAAGCTTTTTTTTTAAATTTTGTTAGTCGGCTGACATTTTGGGTTGTATACTGGATAAAACAAGTTTATTATCAATGTCTACGTATATTTATTATGATATAATTATTCATTGTAATGGCCATAAAATTTAAATTTTGTTTTACTTAAAATTTTTTGTTTTACTTGAAAGTGGTTTATATTTAAATCGGCTGTATCTTCGGTTGAGATGGATATTTTTGATGCGCGTGCGATTAAAACTTTCTTTCAAAGAATACTACTAGCTTCGTCCCTGTATTTAAGTACTAACCTTTGGCTGGAAGTTGCAGCCAGTAATACAAAATTTAAAATCATTTTTTTTACATGTTCCCGATGAAAATATTTGTGGTTATATTGACTGTCATGTTTATATTATCTAATTTGTAATTGATCAAATTTATTTTGTATTTTAAGAAGATGCATAAAGTCTTTCACTTATTTGTCATACGTTGTATAATGACCCGCCGCGCATGAGTGCGCGGCTCACTCTGTATCGTAAGGACGATGGTGAAACGACCGTGGGGGTCACGACGTGATACAAGTATGGCTTATATATGCGCGTTTGAAGGACCATGATCATGATCTTGATCCTGCGAATTAGTTTTATTTGTTAATAGAGCATTTTGGGCTATACTGGTTTTAACAAGTTTGTTATTGGATGTTTATTTATATTTATTTTGATATTATTATTCATTGTAATGACAATACAATTTAAATTTTGTTTTCCTAAAAGTATAGTAAAAGTAAAAGTAAAAGTAAAAATTATGACATAACATCATCACTAATATAATGTCTACAAAGTATCATCACACTACATAGAAAAATTACTATTTCTCCATCAAATTTAAAAGTAATAATTATCAAAAGTTAATCATGAATAAAAACAACATTAAAATATTTAATTTAGTCATACTTCCCAGTGGAGTAAAGATTTATAAAACGTTTCTTTGCTACATAAGGATGAAACCACAGATAATGATCATTGTGTTCCTTTTAAAATTTTGTTCTTCTTTGTTAGTGGTAGTATTATAGGGTTGAAATCAGAGTAGAGTGATTAATCATCATCCCCTCTACACATACCCCTTTTTTTTCTTTTTTTTTAATAAGGTGGTTGATCAGTCATTTGTGTCGATATATCAAGTCAAGATATTCCCCAAAATAATTAAAAGACGATTCCCGATCGAAAACGTTTATGGTAGAAAAAGTTTTGATTGAAATAAATTTTCGTGCACATACAGAATGAATGGTTAATAATTTAATATATATGTAGACTGTTTTTTCTTCTATATTAGTTACTCATATCTCTTGTACAGACTTTTTTACAAGGACATTGACAAATGATACTCACATTAGGCATTCATTATTGCATCTAAATTATTTCACTTGCATTAGGCTTAGAAATTTATTCTCTGGTCAACAGATTTCAAATGTTTAATTAATTTGTAGTATGACAGTAAGGTATATAAGAAGTTATTTAATTTTGCTTGGGCTATTATATTGACTAGGTATTGAGGTTTAATGATGATATGGAATTTGAATTCTATATAAATTTACACTATGTGGTTGGGGCATTTTGCATAGTAAATATGGTTACTACTCATATATATCATATTATTTGATTGGTATTCGATTTCTGATTATTTCTCTAGGAATATGATTATTATATCTCAATTTGGCTTTAGGTAGGGTGCCCCGCTAAAAGAACTGGATTCTTCCAGGAAGCATCCCGTGCACAGAGCTTGGTCTACATATATATTAAATTATTAACCATTCATTCTGTATGTGCACGAAAATTTATTTCAATCAATATGTAGACTAAGGTCTGTGCACGGGATGCTTCCTGGAAGAATCCAGTTCTTTTAGCGGGGCACCCTACCTAAAGCCAAATTGAGATATAATAATCATATTCCTAAGAAATAATCAGAAATCGAATACCAATCAAATAATATGATATATATGAGTAGTAACCATATTTACTATGCAAAATGCCCCAACCACATAGTGTAAATTTATATAGAATTCAAATTCCATATCATCATTAAACCTCAATACCTAGTCAATATAATAGCCCAAGCAAAATTAAATAACTTCTTATATACCTTACTGTCATACTACAAATTAATTAAACATTTGAAATCTGTTGACCAGAGAATAAATTCTAAGCCTAATGCAAGTGAAATAATTTAGATGCAATAATGAATGCCTAATGTGAGTATCATTTGTCAATGTCCTTGTAAAAAAGTCTGTACAAGAGATATGAGTAACTAATATAGAAGAAAAAACAGGAAGTTGTCGTCTGTTGTAAAATAAATAAAATATCTAGAATATAGATTAGAATATAAAATAACATTCAGTCAATGTGTCGTCAATAAACTGTACAATTATCAAATGTTAAAACTGGGTGATACAGTCACCAAAAATAAATACTAAGTATGATAAGTGAATAAATTAAATGTGGTCTATAAAACTACCACTAAGTATAATAGGTCAATAAATTAAAAGTGGTTTATAAAACTACCACTGTGGGAACCCCTTCTCCAGTTAAAACATGTCAGTCATGTGCAAAATCAATCAAAAGTAACTCAAGTTACATAAATAAAAAAAACGTGAAAGAATATTCAAACAATATACACATAATATAGCAATGGCCAATTGGCTGACTATAAGGTCATGGCCCGAACAAACAATTTTTTTAAATAGTCAAGTGATGCTAAAGCAGAGCACAAATGTGTAATAAGTTAATAGATTAAAAAACTGATTCATGTGATGCATTACGCAGAGCACAGATAAAAATACTGATTCAATGATTAAAATTATAGCTGTGAGTGTCAATAAATTACTGTGTCATAAAAAAGGAACGATGTACACGTGATCTGAGATACCAATATCTCAATATCAAAAGGATAGTTACATAAATATCAATTGCAATTTTATGGATAAAATCAATAAAGCTTACTAGTAAAGCCCAAAACAAAGTAACACACCAAACAATGGTTGAGACATAATAAATCCAAGCAGCCTAAGTCGGCAATAATATCATGTGAGTTAATCTGAAACTAGCTACAATTCGTGTAACCAGACAGGTTCTACCAATCCAAAGAGTTAAGTATGTTTTCATTCAGTCAGTAGTAAACATTACTGGGCCACGCGACGCTCAGCCTGTCATTCCGCCGAATCTCTATTCTCTATGATTATGAACATAAATATAATAGCCTGAGGTCCCCAGGTAATAGTAAACAGTGTCTAGCACTGGTCGTCCTAAGAGGTACTCCCCATTTATTACAGGCCTGGGTAAGCCCGCATACATGCCAATGGATAGAGCATTGGCTGTCTAATATAGGGACTAGACTTCCCAGCTAGGCGTGGGTGGGCCCTGTAGAAATACGGATCTTCTTACTTAGCTTGAGGTCATCATTATTTACACATTCACTGCAGATTTGGATTAATTTTGGATCTCTGGAGCAGTTTCGGATCGCCAAGTGTGGAGTTCCCAGATCTTCCAGACGTGACTGGAGACCTTTTTGCCAATAATGTTTTTATCATTAAAAAAACAAAACATTCCTTTCTGAACAATGTTCTCTGAACAATTATCGAATTGAAATGTTTTACCCAATTTTTATTGTAATAAATAGCATCAAATTGAAATTTTGTTTGACTGAAATTATCGTTTGACTGGTAAATCGAGGTTTTCTGTTTATTTGTTAATATGTTAATTTAGTTTTATACTTTACAACAACTTTTTGGGCAACATTTAAGATAATAATCTATTTTTGCGTTTCATTGTGTCTGCCAACAAAATTGTAGTGTAGGTCGGAAAAGGAGGCTCTATCCTGGGACACCAACATTTTTTGGGTTGGCACCTGGGAGAAAGCTACCTTATTCTTTGTATTTTGTCTCAAGTACTAGAGCATCTTTTTTCTTCTCTTTTGTTCACTGTCTCTACTTTTATGTTGCCCAGATTGTTTGGTATGACTGTATTGGATTTTCAGATATAATTAAATCTTTATCATCAGTTACTGTTCTGCAGTAAACTTTTTAAATCATTTTTTATTGTATATTGGAAACTTCACATTGTTTGTATATTTGGAGTCCATAGAATTTCTATGGATTTTTTTAAAGAATTTGTATAGAGTTTTTATAGAATTTTTAATATATCAGGGAATTTCATTTTCATCTATATCTAGTCCTCTGTTAGAAAACCTGCTAATCCTTCTTGGATATCTGCTTGTTAGGTGCATCTGCCTTGTTTAGTCACGTTATATCTTACAGTTTTTATCGCCTGTTTTCTAAACAGTTTCTTGTTCCACCTCGTCTAAGGCAAAGATGCACACTCACGTTAATTTAAGTGTCATTTACAGCTGTGCATAAGGGTTAAATTTAAATTATTTAACCTTTTGGTGCTGTTTAAAAATAACATTAATTTATTATTATTATTATCTTATCAAATTTTTAATTAGGAAGAGACTTGGTAATAAATCACTTTTCTAGCTGCAGAAGTTGTACAATGACTTGATGAAAAGCTGCTTTCCTGTTCAGGATGATGCCTCCGATAATTACATACTTGATCCTTCTACTTATTCCAGGAAGCTTAGGTAATTCATTTTTATTTGACAATCATTTGAAGGCTGTTAATAAACCATTGTTGATAACCCTGCACTGTCAGATCTAACACCCGTGTGTGAACAAATCACAGGACTGATTGTGTACGGTTCTTTAATGCCTTGGATGTGAAATGTGAATGCCTCTTGGCAATGTTCTATGAAATTCCAAGTTTGTAGAATCCAGCTCAATTTATCAGTTTTAAACAGCAATACTCTAAAAATGTCTTTCCTTGAAAGGTACTTGAAAGTACTCTTGCTACCAATTATTTTATAGATCTTCATGATACCTATGATATTATGTCACTAGCAAAATCTTGGTTTATTGACCTGGATTTGTTATTTCAAGCGGCTAATTAATAAATCAATTAATTAATTTTCATATTCATAATGTTGCTATTAACCAAATAACCTAATTTTCCAATCAGTCGTTGCTAATGAACGTGAGTGTTGTGAAAGGATAAGTTTGCTGCACTTAAGTGTGCCCATGTTTTTCTTCTTTCATATTTTTCTTATTTTCTTGGGAGATTTTTCTGCTGCACTTACCAATCTCGTACTCATAGATACAATACCAACCTTTTTCCTACGAAAGGCAGACTCAACAAATTCACATTTTAGCCAGTTTTGGCAACTATCCAGTACAGTTTGGTTGCTTTTGAGTGGTGTGAAGTGTGTCAGTGTTCCAATACCATCAATGCCATACATATTTAGATCTGCCAAATCTGTCAATAGTCAATAGACTCTGCAAGAAACCTGGTGTGCCTATTTGCTAAGATTTTGAGACTTGTGTTCAGTCTTTATATGCACTTCTGGTATATTTACAAAGGAGCAGGTACACATCTACACATTTGATATCAGTAAGAAGGGTCTTCAAGCCGGTGGTTGCAGATTCATGGTCGGAGCTGTAAACCAATGCTTTCTGTGCTGTATTTTCTGCTGTTGCAGTGTACTTTTCCCCCTTTCAATCATAACCGATCTTATACTTATGGTTGTCTTGCATGTTATTCTGGAGTGTGTTACCACAAGTGTGATTATTGAGCATTGTTTTTTAGAGTATTGAACGAGCTGTAATATTCTAAAAAACTTTTGGGGTTCTCTTTAAATTTCTATTGTGTTATGTTTGTACAATAGGTATTATTATAATATACATTATACTCGATATATACTAGTAGAAATTTAAAAATAACTTTAAATCATGATATTTAATATTGAATACTTTGTTTGTTCCAAAATGGTTTCCATTTACAAATTTCTCGATAACGGGCTCAGATTATACAGATTATTCCTTATCTTTGAAAAAATCTCTTATCCTATAATTTGTGGGAAATTTTCTATTGAAAATAATTTTGGGGCTTACTTAGTATCGAAAAAAAAAAAATTTTGTTAAAAGGGAAAGTAAATTTCTCATACAAGCTAATAGGGGTACTAGAACATAACATAGGACTTGAGTTTTCACAGATAATCTCAACAAAAAAGTAATATTATATAGTTATATTATATAGTAATATTATTAAGTAATATTATCATATTTCAGCTACACAGTGTCTGGAAATCTCATTAGATCCCAGTGACAGGGAAATTCACTGGAAGACCAATGTAACACTTCATTGCAAATGCACTTGTAAAACCTCCTGCTTTGATAAAAGGTAACTCCTGGCAATAAGCCAGTTTTACTATAATCGTGTTAAAGTATGACTCATGAGATTTTCTAGGAGCGGAAATTTTATTACATTTATATAACAACCTGATTTGTAAATAACTTGATAAATAACTTGATTTATAAATCAATAGTGTACTAGACACCTGTCTGAAGGAATTGATTCAAGCCCTTGTTTTAATTATAACATAAAACTTGACCGGTACCGCTCCTCCATTCTTTTACGTAATAGCGATTATGTTATGTGCTTATTAAGTTAGTATATTGATATTAAACATCTAACTGCACATTCTAGTGTGATCATGTGAATGCTACTTCCGAAAACGTGCAGAAAAAATGAACGTTTCACTTGGCAGATATTAATATTCAAATAACAAAAAATGAGAAATATTTTTATGAAGGAGCAAATATATTTATTATGTTGCTACTTGCTCATTCGTATATATCTCAGAACAGACGACTATCGACTGATGGAAATATTCCTGCTCCTGCCCAGCGGGAAGCAGGAGTTTGTGGGAGAAGCTACAAACGATCACGGAAATGGCTCGTATGTTATAGTGCCCAATGAAAACGCTACGATCCAGAACACAATGCAATATCAATGCATGGTCTCTCGTGTTGGAGTTACTAAGAAAGTCAATTTTACTGTTATAGGTAATTATAAACATTTGTTGAGATGATCGTTATTAGGTTTGAAGGGGTGGGGCCGGGCAGTCAGGCCATGCGGAAGGGGGAAGTTTTTATCTCATAAAAGAACAATGCTCTTAATTTATCGAAGCTCCCTTCATACATATGATATCTTCCGCCTTGTCCAGAATAAACTACATAGTATAGGAACCAAATTACTCAACCTATTTCTGTTGTAAAATCAACCTGTTGAACATTCTATATATATACGGAAACCCAAATCCTTGAAAAAATAGGGTTCTGTAAATACTTCGTATTTATTCAATGTAAAATTATGTTTCATATTTCATTATAGTTACATGATGATCCGTTTTCAGAGCCTCCCCCAATCATTGCAAACTTCAACATTTCGTCGGAGGGAAACTACTCAGTGTCCTCCAGAGCTGTAAACCTAACCTGGTCTGTACCGAGCTTCTACCCGACAACAACTCATCTCACTGTGGAAATAATGGACACCTACAAGGGGGGCAAAGAAATAGTTAGTGCTCTTTTGCTATATTAAATAGTCATATATAATATACCTTATATAATTTTGTCGGAAATAAATCGCAACAAAGCGATTCCAACGGGATATGGTCAGGACAGTTCCCAGAAATCATCTCAGAGAGTTCTCAACATTTCTGACGTCACAATTACCACTTACCTGCAATGATCATGACTTTAAATGGCTAAAGTTTGAGTGATTACATGTACAGTAATTATCAAATTTTCAGAAACCTACAGAGTCTCCGACACAAACCGAGATGAGAGTAGACGGTCTGGCTCCGAACAGGAGGTACAAGTTTACAATAACCAACTACAATAAGATAGGGACCCGGGGCTCTTCCCTCCCTGTGGCAGTGGTTACTAATGAGGACGGTGAGTTACCACGGTTACGGTTACTAATTGAGTAACCTTAGTAAATAGTTATAGTAACAATAGGAATATTTAAAACGTATTATTATGGCAACAAACAATCACCGCTGTGTACTGGTACTGGTGTACAGTAGACATGCCTACTCGGTTCCATTTCCACCAGTGTGTTAGTGTTCTCATCTTAAGTGACACTTGCAGCTACGTAGTAAAGTGTAGTAGCCAAACATAAAAATGAGGAACAAACTATTGTAATACAACATTCCATTATGTGTAGATCTTTGGGAATGGAATTTAAACCATTTATCGAGAATAACATAATCTATGATAATAGATAAAATAAATATATAAATTCTTGTATTCATATCACATTAGTCGACATTAAAAACATTCCTATGACATCTATATACAGTGTATTTAAGTGTGACTTGATATTATATGGTATTATCAAAATTATGGACTTTTACATTTTTCAGAACAATAGAACAATAAAGAAAATTCTAAAATTATGTAATATACAAAATAAATCAAAATCCTTTTCAGTTCCGGACGGGCGACCTCAGAACTTGAGAATAGAAAGTCTGTCTCCAGAGGAACTAATGATAAGCTGGCAGCCGCCTTCAGAAGACAAACAAAACGGCATTATAACAGAATACGAAACAACATGCATCTACCAGTGTGAGGGAAACTGTGATGACGAGGAGGCGGGGGAGGAGGTTCCCATCCACTCTATAAGCACTAGCGAGCTCTTCTGGAAATTAGGTGCTCTTAAAGAGGACTCCCTTTACTCGTGTGAATCACGTGCTTACACGGCTGTGGGACCCGGTCCTAAAACTAACCCTAATGTGGGCCGTACTCAGCAGAAACCTGTCAGTAAGTTACAATTTAAAGTATTTAATTAAAGTATTTAACAGTTATTATTATAATATCTTAATATCTTAGAATTAACGTGGTGTCTTGACAAGATATAAGAGTTGGTTGGATAGTGTTTATGTGAGACCCACCAGCTGACATATGGATCCTACCCAATGTTAGCGCAGCTCTGTTGACTGTTGTATAATTCTTCTCCTTTTTATTGAGCAACTTAACCTAACATTTGTTATTTCAGCGACCCAAGTCCCCACGACCCCAGGCCCTGTTCCAACTCCCACCAGAGAAACCTCCGCAGTAACGGGCCAGTCCCAGATGCCGGCCATGGCTATAGGCACTGTCATAGGGGTCGTAGTGGTAGCGCTAGCAGCTGTATTCATTTATATCAACAGACAAAGGTCAGATATTTTACCATGTAAAGGGTGGGTCGTGTCACGTGGGGGATTAATGATTAATAACCGAGAATTAGGATGACAATAAGTAACCTGGTCATGGTTGGTGGTAATCTGTGCGATTAGATAATTATTATACATATTTTGTATGAATATTCAAAATTTAAGCCTGCTTAGTGTCCTGCCTCACATTACTACAAGGACAGTTTATCTCTAAACTCCACCGCCTCCCTAACTACACCACCAGGAGTTAACACACCCTATTATCCAGGATATTAAAGACAAACCACCTTATTTTCCAGGATATTTAAGACAACACACGATATTCTGAAGTCGGAGGACGAACCTATGGACTCACCACGCCATGGCAACTACGACAAGAATTTACAAGTTGCTGTAGCAGGACTACAGGATCCAATGGAAGAAAGTAAGCAGCATTATTAATTATCCAGATTAGGGCGTGGCTTTTCTTTATAAAGGTAATTAAGTTATTAATTAGGTAATTAAGTTATTATCATGCTTAACCTGTGTCGTGTGATAAGTGAGGATATTTAAAAATAAGAGATCAGATTGTCATCATACCTACCGCGATTGTCATCAATACTATTGTACTATTGTACTATATTTAGTACTCGACGAGAGATCGCATGTAGTTTTAAATTTAACGTGGTAGATCTGATTGTTCTCGCATTCATATCCTGGAACTGTAGTAATATACAGCGTCATTACACACACACTTTCCTTGCTGTACACTGTCCCTACTGTACATGCCTAATACAATTACAGTTTATCCTTTCTCACAACTTGGCAAGCTGTCCCTGCAACTGTAATAGTCTAGGTGTGAAGTTGAGTGAGATTTGGACAATAACTAAATGGACATCTTCAACAAGACGTTGTCTCACGTTTTGACTGCCACATGCTCGAATTTTGATTGCCAAACCATGTGATAGTTATTACTCGGCCAATTTTAAACCAATTGCCACAAAAATTTGTAGTTTGGTCAACAAGGATACAATAATCACTCATTCATCAACATGAAACAGCTAAATTTGTTATTTGTACACTTTATGATAAGAATATCACAGGGAAAGTTGTTTATGGCTGTGTAAAATCGAATTTACATGATTTGAGTGAGTTATCGTGATAGATGTGACCGTCAAACCTTTCTGAAGCATGTGGGTGTTATATGTACCGCGATTAATGGTTAAATATACGAAATATGGTACGATTATCACACATCACTTAGGGTAGGCTATAATGACAACCAGTGAGGACTATGTTGATGTTTTGAATGCTATTCAAGGTGCTTTAGGCTGTAAAATAATGTTGTAATGATTGACATTCAATAAATGACCTGTAAATGATACAAATATCACATTAAATTCAATATTTTTCACGAATCAATGTCAATAATGTGCGAATGTTGTTTTTGAAGATCAATTCATCCAATATTATTAAACATAGTCAATAAGTAATAGGCATTTCATTAAATAAGCACTTTTCAGATACAAATATCACTTGATTAAAAAAAATTTTAAAAAATTAAAAATTATTTAAATTGAAATTGTGATATTCGTATCCTATTTTGGTTCCTAGATGTGCTGTGTAAGATATTCAGGGAGTAATAATGTTTATTGTACATGTATCAAAAAGAATCTCGTTCTATAGACCCATATTGATACATTTATCACGAATGTTACACTTGTAAAATTTGGTTCACAAAAAATGTGATATTTGTATCCTTCAAGTGGTTGGAACAATTTTTCATCCTTGTATCCATACTGAGTTACCATTATTGTAGGTGTGAATGAAGTTTCATCTTTATTAATGAATTATGTACCCTTCAAACAGCCACCCAGAGAACTGGACCCGAAAAATAGCTATATTTCGTTGTTTTAAAATACAATGTGATAATTGTAGTACATCTAACGGGAGGTTGATTTTTGTATCATACTTTTCACTAATTCTGTTTGGAATTGCCTCTGGTACAGTTTGAGTTCAAAGAAACAGAAAAAAGAGTTCAAGGGGATTCAATAATCACATCATAAAACGGACAATTTTGAAACGAAAATGAGTGATATTTGTATCATAATGAGCCTAAATAACGATTTCCTTTTGTACACTGCTTCCTTAGGAGACAGGCATCATGTTACGAAATTTTCATAAAAAACTGATAACATTCGGTCTCTCCAGACCCATTTGTATCATTATCACATCTCAGAAAATGTGATATTTGTATCATTGGACTTTAACGTGGTCTAGCTCTGTCAATTTATGTGATAGCATGATTTTGATTTCATAGTCATAAAGCTATGAAAATTCTGCAACCAATCAATCGAGTCTATCATAGCCAATAGACTATATAAGACTCTAAAAATCAATTTAGAAAAAGTCAAAACGTGAGACAACGTCTTGTTGAAGGTGTCCAAATGGTGCGTACTCAAGTACGTACTGTAGTACATACTCCAGTACTTGTTTCATCTAAACGGTACATTCCACAATATCCAATACGTAATGCAGTTTGCCTATCTTACCCCTATTAAGTAGTACCCGTAAAGAAGATGATATCTTATTACAATATTCTGCTTCAAGTTTGATAAAAACAATCTACTTGACTCATATAGATTGTAGGGCCGAAGGATCTCCTAATTGGAAATGTGTTCAGAATTAGATCTGAACACCCGTCCTCAATATTGTATCCAGGCTAGGTTTTAGTGTAAACACGGGTGGAACCTGGTCTTTACCAGCTGGTATTTACTAATTATGGTTTAGAGTTGTGTTAGAGAGTCCTGTGTGATGTATGTTCTCATGCCATCAAGACAGCATGGAATCATCAGGAGGGTGTCTTGTTCTGTGAGATTACATAATAACTCACATTACATCACGGCGTAGTGGATTACGGGTTAGTAAGACCGGAATACAACGGTGTATGTACTCGGGTACTAATATAATCCTAATTAACAGTACATATTATTCGGGTTGTCTAGTACGTAACACAGTACGTAACAGTACGTAACAGTACGTAACACAGTACATACTCGATAATGTGTGGTTAGCGTTTTAGGTGTTTTGCAAATAATAACATATCGTGTTATCTGTATTTTCGTTCATACAGTATTTTGTGTAATCTTCTGATTGTTTTTATGCGTACATCGTGACACAAAATAAATTAGAAAAATAGTGAATAAACTTGCCTGCCAAACCTCAAGACTGTCGAATGCTCAGCTCTTCTACTTCCGATATAAATTTAGGCTTATAATGTGATCGTAACCAACGTTTCTGCAACTTTTCCCGCTTTCTTTAAAGGGGCCCCAAACTTTACACCATATGCAACCCAAATATTGCACCAGAAAGACCCCGATATACATCAGATTTTTTGCAAGATCATTAGTAGATTAATAAATTCACGAGCTACCCTAGCTTGACGTAAATGAATGGAGCGACCCCGTCAAGCTAGTAGTTGAGGTAAATGAATTGGCCGCTGCCCGCTATATCCAGCTAGTAATGCTGGTGGAGAAGATAACTAGCCGCCATTTCTCTGTGACGTGTATCGCAACAAGTTCTGTGTAGTATAAAATAACGTGTAAGTATAATGCCTGTTATTAGAGAACATGTTTATGAGTGATTAAAGGCTCATTAAACTGACAGATTACTCTCCTCCAATTAAAACCTCGCTAATCTGTCACGTGGGTAGGTGGGAGCCTTTTTGTTGGCTATTTCTCCGAGTGTAGTTTTCTCAGAAGGTGTGGAAGATAAAAAGTGTTGACATTTCAAATCAAAGTTGAAAAGCAGCGGTTTAGGTACTGAGTTCTCTTGTGTGTAGGTTATATATTTCTACAAACTTACTGACTTATATGGTTTGTTTTGTCTTGAATCACAAGTCCAAATTTGTGGCACGTAAATAGCACATATGCGGCAGGTAAACGGTACAGACAGGGCACAGATAAGGCACTGCCATCCTTATTCACTCCATCGTTTATCATCAAGTCACTTGATTGAAGTGTACTAAAATTGCCTTGATGTGTGCAATATAGCTATAGCTACCTAATATCAGGTGACTGTGTGTAACTACAGCTACCTATTTCCTAGCAATATATACACTACACAATATAGCTACTTAATTTCAGGTAAATGTAGCAGCAACATCTCAAAGTTAGAAGCGCCCCCTAACCCTGGCTACAAGGGACCCACCCCTAACTCTGTTATCTCCGCTAAACCTCCCATTCCTAATGTGGACTTCCCAAACCATGTGGAACAGCTGCACGCTATTGGAAACGTTGGCTTCAACAGAGAGTATAATGTAAGTAATACTAAGTGTAAGTAACACTAAGTGTAAGTAATGCTGTATACTAAGTGTAAGTAATGCTTAGTTTAAGTAATACTAAGTGTAAGTAATGCTAAGTGTAAGTAATACTAAGTGTAAGTAATACTAAGTGTAAGTAATACTAAGTGTAAGTAATGCTAAGTGTAAGTAATACTAAGTGTAAGTTATACTGTGCAATGTGAGAAACACGCCCTGAAACTAATGACTGGTTATGGTAGTAGTATTTCTTTCTTTGTTTCCGAGTGTAACTACCCTGCCCAGTAAGGTGCCTGGAATTTGTATTACATTCTTTAACTGCTTGTTTTGCCTTCTGATAACTTATCAATTCAACTCATTAAATTGATAGGACAAAGATATATTGTTTATTTTACCATGGTAACATAACTATACTCTCAGTCAGTCAACCCTGGAGGGGGTTGGAGTTGTGAGGTCGGAGCAAATAACAAGAATAAAAACAGATATTACAACGTTAAGTGCTGTAAGTGATAGGTTTTAACTCTCTGGTTTCTTTTTTAGATAAATAAAAGTAAGAAATTTGTATACATTATAAGAGAGGTCACCCTCATTTTTTCTTGAAATTTGATATTAAGAAAACATTCGATCCACTAACTTATAGTAACTAACCAGTCACTTCATTTCTTGAGAAGAAATAATGCAACATAGCGCTCCCCCTCGTTAGTAGTGTTAGTAATTATAATTATTAATGATTAGTATAATTAATGTATGTTTATTCAGTTGATCACACGAGAGTGAAGCTAACAACAGTGGTCGGAGGAGAGACTGATTTTATTAACGCTAACTTTGTCGACGTGAGTACAATGTACTGGGTACCTAGCTTTTATCTTAATTAATTATCTTAATGTAAGATCAGACTTAATCACACTTAATCAGCCAAAAGTAAGATGGTGCTACTCACAGGACGGGAAAGTGTTAATTCTTTATTTAAATTATAATTACAATGGATAGTGCTAGTTAACAATGCTACATTTAAATTAACACTGACAGATTTACATATTGTAGTAATCCTGAGAGGTTTGTGTCATGTTAGTGATGAGGAGGCCATAGTAAGAACTGCTCGTGCGCCAGCTTTAACACTTACATAGTTACATAACAACTATCAGTTACCATGGTAACCATAACAGTTTCTATGGTAACCATGACCAGGAGGGTTTGTGCCAGAACACCCACGTGACCAAAAAAGCAGAAGTAAATTAGTTTCTCCGACCGTGTTTTCTTATCTGTAACATGTTTACTTTTCAGGGCTACAATAAAAAGGGCGCATATATCGCTACACAAGGTCCTCTTCCTAACACGTGTCTAGATTTCTGGCGCATGGTCTGGGAACAGAAATCATCAACAATTGTCATGGTGAGATTGTCACTTACTAATCCATTCGCACTAATCTATTTATTCAATTTATTTGTTAGATATTGCTTACCTCCAAGTCAGGAACCGTTCAATCTTATTGTTGAGTAGTCTTATCTTTTGTAGTAGTAGATATTCGATTATAAAATAGCTGGAATGTTGTTTATTCAGGTAACGAACCTAGTGGAGCTAGCCCGGGTGAAATGTCACCAGTATTACCCTGAGAGTGGGTCTCTTACATTTGGACCCGTTACAATTACTCTTCTGGAAAGCATTCCCCTTGCAGACTTTACAATACGCTCTCTTAAACTGGAGATGGTAAGTAACTATTCCCTCGAATAATTTGCAATACGCTAAAACTGGAGAGATAAGATCACGAGATAGATCATGCGCTGCATCGCACAGCTTGTGTTTATGTTTAACCAACAAAATCTTTATAAATCTACTTGACACAGAGTTATTACAGGCAGGAGAAGATCCTCACATTATCAAACATTTCCACTTTACTTCCTGGCCGGACCACGGCGTTCCTTCCTTTTCAAACGCTATTCTCTCTTTTGTCAGACACGTTAAAAACGTGAAGTCAGTGGACTGTGGACCCATAGTGGTTCACTGCAGGTTGGTGCCGCGCAGAGCGAGCGCTGAAAAGCTTTGCTTTGTATGAATATGTAATTTAGATGTAACGAAAGTAGATGTTTTCGTTTCTTTGATATGCATAGCGCGCACTGTGCCATCTGACAATGAACATGCAGCGATTGACCTGGATCAATAGAATGAAAATAACTGGCTACATCCAGCGATGACCATTTCTATTCATTTTTCTCTCTGTAAATGAAAAAGTGGCATATTTCTGGAATTGAAGCGATTTCAAATTTAATTTGGCGATTTCTTAGTACATTATGAAATCCATCAAATACGGGCGTCGACTTCGTATGTCGTAGCAGGCTAAAAATAAGTCGCATAATCGTATTAAAGAAGGATATCAGGTATCAAACTGTTTACAAACACTAAATAGCCGTACCAGGGCACTGGTTTTTAAAAACAGTATCAAATAGGCCTTCCAATTTACTCTGACTAATTCGCCGTCCGCCGAGAAAACGATTCTTCTAATTTACCGAGTTTTGGCTACAGTGACGTAACGGGTGGAAAATTACCCGAATCTGCAGCAGAATAAATGGCTGCCAGACTTTGGGGCCGAAGTGATATGATCCACCATATACGTCATCAAGTAATTAACATGCAAGCTTGAAGCTTGTGGCGTATAATTAGTGATGTGATCCATGGATTGAATATAATTGACCTAGAAATGGGCTAGATCTGGGGTAAAGTTCATATGACAACTCTACGAGTTGAGCAGTCAGATCATGTTTACTTCTTAATGAACAGCTATGTTGTACAGAATTGACATGTGAACTCTACCCAGTATCTAGCCTATTTCTGGGCCAATTAAATTCTACAGATGGATCACATCACTAATTATACGTCACTAATTGGTGACGTGATCTGACTCCTCTTTGGGGGCCGGATCAGTTTTCGGCCCCAAAGTCTCCCAGTGGAATAAATCATATCATGATTCTGCCCTCCTCACAGTTCGATAGACGCAGAAATTAAAATCAAATTGTTGCCTAAATCTGCACCAAGAGCGAAGACACAAAATTTCTTGAGGATGGCGAATTGTTACGTCACTGCTAAGCTATATACTCAGTCAACAATTTCTCTGAAATTCTATTCCCCGAGGAATAGTGTATCATCGGTCTCCACTTACCCACTCTATAACGCATCTTTTATACTGCTATATCCACAAACTTGTTAATACGTGAAATTTGATTAATTATCTTCATACATTTCAGTGCTGGCGTAGGGCGAACTGGAACCTTCATGGCAATAGACTCAATGTTGGACATGTCAGAGAAGGAGCACTGTGTTGATATATTCGGTTATGTAACCCTGATGAGAACATGTCGTCCTAGCATGGTTCAGACCCAGGACCAGTATATCTTCATACACGACGCTATCCTGGAAGCGCTCACGTGCGGGGTGACGGAAGTGCGCGCACGGGACCTGCCCAATCACTTTCAGTGGCTACTCGACACCGACACCTTCACCAACAACGTCCGATTAGATGACGAATTCGATGTAGGTCCTAGTATTTTATTAATAGTGGAAATTAAATTCTGATATCTTTGCTGAACCAATTGGGTTGAATACTTCAAGATAAGAATTCCTGAGCACATTACCCACAGGAAAATGTTGTATCACGTCGTGACCCCCACGGTCGTTTCACTGACACTATGGTGTAGTAGAGCTTTTACGATACAGGGGGAGCCGCGCACTCGTGCGCGGCGGGTCATACAACGTATGACAAGGAAAATGCTCATGGACCGGACAGTTTCTGGGTGTAAATTTGGTATCGGTGATAGTGGAATATTTTGTTGTCAAAGATGTGCGAGGAAAATAACCGAAAATTAGCGTAATTAGACCAAATTACTGTCAGCACTTAGTCGTTTGAAAGGTTTCATTTGTGCTCAGCGAGCAATTTGTTGGACTAAATGATGGTTATCAGTACTATTGATAGCCATATTAATATTAACTGCATTGACAGCATCCGCCTTTCCCATATTTACAACAAAATTTTTTACAAGAGTTCTTACTGGTGGTATACTGTATTTTTTGAGATTATATCAATATATTCTATAATGTCTAATTAGCGTATTTAATCATGATGATTTTTCAGCGTTTAGGATACAATATCAGAGATTTGTCTCACCAGATGACAACAGCGCAAATGGACCAGAACGCTTCTAAAAACAGAAATAGGATGTTCATTCCATGTTAGTCTTGAATAAACGATATTTATTTACATTTTTACATTTTTGTCTATTTACACCCACAATTCTATAAAATTAAACATTGATATTAGTTCAAAACTGATGATTTGGAATTTGTTTGATGCCCTGAACAAGTAACTCTACAGTAACTATGATAACTACTCTCAGACGACCAGTGCCGAGTGTGGCTGTTCCCTTTACCCAAACAGCCCTACAGTAACTACATAAACGCTAGCTATATTGACGGGTTCAGGACACGAAAAGCTTACATTGCAACGCAATCACCCTTACCTCAAACTGTAGCGGACTACTGGCGCATGGTAGGTTATTTTCCAGTCAAAAAGTCAATGATAATAGGAATGGTGTGGAACATTAATTTGTCTTGAAGGAAGGTTCCGATTTTCCGTCTTCTAGTCAAACTTTACCAATATAAGATTACGCATTTCCATGGCAGAGTTTATGTGACACAAAGAAACGCTATAAGATTGGTAATGAAAATTAAGGAGTGTGGCAACCTTTTAACACACATCTGATTGCAGGTATGGGAGCTACATTCCCTTACCACGGTAATGTTAAACAGAGAGGACGAGAGTGAGCCCTACGAGGCTTACTTCCCTCTCAGTGGGTCAGCAGAATTCGGCAACATAAGAGTCGAGTTTATCAGACAGGAGGACCACCGAGATTACAGCGTTACTGTCCTCAGAGTATACAACAAAGAGGTAACCAGTAGTGAAGCAGTTACCAGCTGTTACTTGATGCTTTAACTTATCAGACACCAGTTGTTGCTAGTAGTATCTAGTTTTAACTAGTATACATGAGGGGTGAAAATAGTTTTGTTAATTGACATTAGATGATCTAATTATTTTCAGGAGGGTTTGAACCGAACAATTTCACATTTCCAATTTTTCTCGTGGCCTGAAGACTCGCCGCCCACTAGCCGCTCCACCTTGTTGGAGATGATAACGAGACTAAACAAGTGCCAGCAGGCTTGTGGGAACAAATATCCTGTAGTGGTACACTGCGAGTAAGTAATCAACACTACTCTCTTTTAAGAATATCTACACGAAAAAAACATTCATTTAGCACTTTGATTATCCAATATTAAAATGTAATTTTTATTTTATTCTCAGTTACGGAATGGGCCGTGCAGGAGCGTTCTTAGCGCTGTGTATTTGTTTAGAACGAATGAAAGTTGAGAATGTGGTTGATGTGTTCCAAACTGTCCGAACTATGAGATCTCAGCGACCGGTCATGGTCAACACAACTGTTAGTACCCTTGCCCCCCCCCCCCCCCCCCCCCCCCCACTGTTGTTGATACTACTTTAACTTTCGTTATTACACTAACCTTCTCTATGCATTTGTTAGGTCTACATATTTTGTAACAGTGTAATTTTTCAGATGCTGTACCGTTTCATTTTTAACTGCCTTGTTGAATACCTGCAAACATTAGACCTCTACGCGAACATTAAATGAGAACCCAACATCTCTCCAATCTACAATCTACATGTTCAAATCAAGTTCTAAGTATAAGCCTCGTAAGAATAATTAATTATTTAATTGATTTATCATTTAATTAATCGTTGGCTTGTCAGACTTACCCTAAAATATCAGAGAAATACAGTTTTATTATATATAGTAGTGTTATATAGAGAAATTAGTTACAGTTTTATCATAAAATATAGTAGTGTTCTATAGTGAAATAAGTTACAGTTTTATTGAAAGTCAACACTTCAGATATTGCGATCGGTAAAATAAGTGACGATTTTGGTAAATGAAAACTTGATTTTTTAATTAATTTTTGATTTATATACTATTCATATGCTATTTGATATAACCCTCGCATTAAGCCTGAAGTGGATTACTTGTTTTATCATATGTATGGCGTGAAAATGTTTTTATTTAAATTATTGTCGAAATGAAGAGTAGAACTTTATTTATATGAAATTTGGCTGCCAGAGGCAGAGTCGATAAACAAAAGGTAAGAGCGTTATAGGTAGTGCTAATTTATGGTGTAAGTCAGATAATTTCATTTGTATAAAAATTTGCTTCAGTGAAATTAGATACTTCATCCAGTCAATTGATTAGAAATTGAAAACCCGTTAAAACATAAGCACGATATGCGCCACGATTCACAGAACCACGGGTTTTAAAATTACATAAAATTTTAGGGGTTGAACTACCCCAAAAACTGGCTTTATTAAAACTAGGGTATAGCACATACTGTGCTGAATTTCTACTGTCAGGATTTTACAAGCGTACAACAATTGTAGATATGGGGTTTAATATGATCAAATTTGAGCGTGTTTTATGTAGTGTTCCAAAAAAGGGGACAGATTGCACTGTTCTAGTATTGCAGTAAGTTAATTCAATCGCTCTTACTTTTTGTAAAAATGAAGACCACAGTCTTTGTCCGTATACTATAGTTATTAAAGAATTGGGGGTCGGCAGGGAGGGGTCAGAAATAACCCAGGTACCACCATATTGAGGTACATCCCCCTCCTTTACTAATAATGTTCCCTTCCCCACCCCCGGTAAGAATTTTGTGAAACCGCCTTCCCGTCCCTGAAAAACTAAGAATGTTAAAGTTCTCCCTCCCTGAAACATCGTCCCGTTGATCTTGTTTCATGCTTAACATTATATTGCTGTTAATTGTTGTAGTACACTACTGCTACTACTGTGAATTATTGTTTTGTAAATTTTATACTAACGGAATGCAGCGATAAACTTTTTTCAGGAAATTTTATTTTTTAAACACTTCTGACAATTCATAATTTTCCTTCTGAAGTAACTTCCTGGGTAAATTATTTGTAAACGTAGAATCACTCATTTTTATGGGTTGCTTTATTTTAAATGATCATACAACTGCACGGAGGCCTTGTTTTATTCGATCCATTATTTTTATTACAAATATTTGGAATTTTCGAATAATACCCGCCTTACCATGTTTTCCATAGTTGTACCTAGAAGTAGAATTTAAGAGGCTGCACTTCACGCCTTAAAACCGTCTATTGTGATACTGTATTGTGTTTGCTTTTTAAAAAGTGGTTTTACTTAGCGTTGTAACGAATACACAGAACTTATCAGTAAAATAAAACCAACTAATTCAGCTTTTGATTTAGTCTCTCCGTGTATATTTAATTCGTCGCTTGAACATCGCGATAACGACGTGTTGAAAAGAAGACTAAACAATGATATGATATTTGAAATCACTTCCAAAATATGTAACACCGAGCACGGTTATAGGTGTATTGTGATAGCTTGCTGCACTCTGTGTAGCCTTGCCCAGTTGCTCTAACCAGAGCCCTCTCGCTTGCAGCAGCGGGCGACCGCAGTACGCGTATACTGATACACATGGCTATGTGAACTCGCCCAGCCATTTTCGCGGCAATTATAATTATAAACGCGAAATTCCTCTGAACGTAAATATGATGGTAGCTGGACTTTGTGCTACTAAGTAGCTCGCTCCGAGTTAGTCCTTTGCATTAACAACGGACAATGAATGGGCAGACCCGGCGCGCCCTACTTCGAAGCTTCGTACCTTGATCAATGATCAGGCTTGACGTACGTTGCAATGTTGCATGCCACTTTTCGCGCGCCACCGAAGGTATTTGGGATACGTAACATGTATCTGGTATGAAGATCAGGCCGTATAATATTTTGAGAAGAAAGCGACGCACGCTAAGCTTCGAAGCAATATTAGGTAGTGCGCCATCGACAGTGAGCCGCGCGTGCCGACTGTAGGATGCCCAGCAATCCTTACTGGCTAGCGATATTACTACAGGGTGATCCGGTGATCGCCTTTTCACAGCATGTTAAACTCCGCGCGCGCTCGCTAGTTCATTGCATTTGCACGCTTCAAATATTCCAAGAATGCAATTGTACCGCGTACCACGTGATACGATTCAGCCAATCAGAGAACAACAATCTGCAAAGTTAAAGCTACGCAGTTTTATAAGGCCTAAAATATGACTTTTCACGATAATTCAAAATCTACGTTGTTGGTTGTACGTTGTTTTCAATTAGGCAGTGCGCCATCGACAATAAGACGCGCGCGCTGACCATTGAATGGTTTTTAAGCTCTTATTTCGGCCAGCACATTATTTTGGAAACAATCGAAAAGTTATAATACTTCCCATATAACAATTTTGTTGAAATTTAGTCAGCTTACGTAAACACTTATGTTCTACTGAACCTAATTTAGTTTGAGCAATTTCGATGCTCAGAATTTGAGTTATCAACGAATTTGTACCTATTTTGTCATTTTTAGACCTCTTAATCAAGGCCAATCTCTCCCAACTAAATTAGGTTCGGTAGTTAAGTATGATTGGAAGGGTCTGACAAATTTTCAGCATGATTCATGTTCAGGAACCGAAGATATGACAGAATAATACGACAAAAATCAACGAATTTCGTCAAATTACGCGACTTTTACACCTAATTTTGCTCCAAAAGCCGCGCACCATCAAATATGTCACCTAGGCGAAACTCACTGATCATTCCAAAAAGGTATGATAAATTTGGTACTGTGAAAATTCTCACAGTCTCTAGAAAACGATGGCACAAAAATTTTGAAAATCCGAGCAAGTTTATTTTTATCGTGCACCGCCTATTTCAATTTCCCCCCTGGGGGGGAAACGTTATTTTTGCGAAACGAACATTTTGCAAAAAACCGGAAGACGCTATCTCTTTTACTTTCAAAGTTAGACTCCAGCCAGTAAGGTTTCCTGGGTGGTTTTTTAGCGCTAATTTCGGCCAGCACAATTTTCTTCAAACAAATAGATATTGAGTATCCTTCCCGACCTCCAATTGCAACAAAAATTGGTAAGCTTACTCATAGACTTACAAGGAAAGTGTCCGAAAAATTTGAAGCATATCCAACCATCAGACATTATGTTACAGCTAAAAGCAGCGTATTTTGCCCCATTTTTATCACTTTATCAACGTACTCCGATATCCACCAAATTTTTCGGACAGTTGTGAAAGCCCTATTGGAAGGTCGTCGCCAATTTCCAGAATGATCTCATTTAAGGAACTGAAGATATATCCGAATAATACGACAAAAATGGTCAAATTTGGACGAATTTGGTCAAATTACGCGACTTTTACAGCTACTTTTGCTCCAAAAGCCGCGCACCATCAAATATGGCACCTAGGCGAAACTCACTGATCTTTCCAAAAAGGTATAACAAATTTGGTATTGTGAAAATTCTCACAGTCTCTAGGAAACAGTGGTAAAAAAATTTTTAAAATCCGAGCAAGTTTATTTTTATCGTGCACCCCCTAGCAATATAAACGAGTATTGCACTATACACTATACTATTGCATCAGTCAAATTAACGGGTGACACTCGTAAATAATATCTGTTCCATATATTGGACCGTCGACGAGTCCAACTCGGCGTGCGTCTTGGTAGGTTATAAACCTACAAGAGTCAAAGTAACGAAATAAGTTGAAAATTCAAAATTTGAAATTGATCGACGGTGTGCCAATCCACAATCCTTTGTGCTTTGCAAGTTCGCAGATGTTGATACATGTTACGTATCCCAAATATCAGAGATATATATTTCCGCCTTCGGCGGCGCGCGCTTCGCGCGCGAAAAGTGGCATGCAACGTATGTCAACGCAGATGATATGATCGGCGCGGTCCATTGCATATTGGTGCAGAGCTCGCCGATCTATAATCGAAGTTGTAGTTAACCCAGGAACCCTAACCGGATGGGGCTTAACTTTGAAAGTAAAAGAGTTGGAGACATTCGGTTTTTTGTAACATGTTCCTCTTTTAAAAGTAACGTTACCTCTCCAGGAGGAAAATTCAAGACAACGTAATTGTTGAGTTATCTCAAAATCTCCAGAAAAGTCCCCTTTCGGGCCGATCAAAAGTTTGCAAGTTTAACTTTGCGGATTCCTGTACTCTGGTTGGCTGAATTGTGTCACGTGGTAGCTGCTTGAACATTGGAATACGCCACGCATGCAAATCATGCTTGTTGTCGCGCGCGAGGTCAAGCCGTCTGTTTAAATTAAACCAACTCTAGTACCACCACCAGCCGGTAACTTTTCCTGGGAAGCAATAGAAACATTATTTGTTAATAGTTGCGCGGCGCAGCCCAGTATTTAGTAGTGCATTAACGGATGATCAATGATACTCTTAAAATATTTGTTCCATATATCAGGACCGTCGTTGATTGACGATGTCAATCCGTCGAGATCGTTGCTCTGCGAAGCAGAGCAACGATCGTCAACGCGAATGTTATAGATGGGTTTCGCTGTGTCAAGGCGAACATGGTGGATTTCATTTAGTTCTCATTTACCAGTTGTAGTGTAATGGTATGGATGATATTCCCTGAGTCGAGGCGATTTAAGGACCTTCATTTATATTCCTTATTTACCATAACTAAGTTTAACTTTTATCTTGGGTACGTTGGTGAACTCTGCTGAAAGATTACGGTATCAACATTAAATGACATGCCACACGGATTCATCCATAGTTGTCAGGTCACCCGCAAGATAGTCAATGTGTCATCTAGGCATTATCTCTTGCCCGCATAGGAGCTCTTCCAATGGGGCGGCCCGTCAAGCTCTTTAAAATGCAACACGGCGTGACAAGGTGAACATTAGTGCACTCAACCATACTTTTGAAATTGGTTATCACCTCACACATGTATAGCTTCTCGCTCACTATAGCCCCTACAAATGCACCCTATAAATGCACCCTATAGTTCTACCATTGTGTGACAGCTGGTAACGGCTGTTACTAAGTAACTATCAAAATCTATCTTATCCTTATCTTCTAATCACAATCGAAGCGGCTCAAATCCCTTTCAAAAACATAACACCCTTTAAAAAGGCGTCGAAAACTCTTCGACGGGGAGCCCTGCAAGATTTTACCACTATAAATTATCCGTCCCTTTTTGGGGGGTCCTTCATACATAAATCATTGCACATATCTTTCAACACGGGGGCCCACATATCACCCCGCAATATAAAACTTTTGATGAAAAAGAATATGGCAAGTTCACACCAAAAACCCATTTATTCCCCACTCTCATTGATGATTTGTCTTAACCTTATAATAATTATTTAATTGGGAAAGTAAGTTAAATTAGAATTCTTTATAAGTTTTATTATTGGGAAAGAATTTATATCCCTATTCTTTTATCCACTCCTCTTAACAAAGTGCACCAAATTTATTCTATTTTTTCTTTAACCAAAAATTTTAATGTTTTTTAAACCCCTTAGCATTAGAAGGGCCCTTTTGGCCCCCTCTTAGAATTCCAAGTATAAAGTAATTAAAGGGTCAAAAAATACTAATCTCAAGGTTAAAACCAAGAAATCTTAATCACTAAAGTATCTAGACGTGACATTAATAATCGCACTACGTAATACATCGACAATTATCCTATAGGGGCTCCCTCCCTTTTCCCCTTTTATGGGGTTTAGCCCAACCCGGATCTTTTTATATCAACACATCTTTAACATATGGGGCCCAATACTGCCTCTTTTCTCGTGAAGGGAAGCGCTTGAAAACTTTTTTTCGACCAATGACAAACCGCCTTTTTTTTCTATTATTTTTAGAATTTTACCGAAATTTTTTTTCACCATTTGTTCTTGAGTTTTTCCCAAATTCTTTTACAAGAGTTTGGGTTAATAACCCTTTCGCTAAATTTGGGGTTTTTTTAAACCAAAAGTGTCGTTTCGAAGTTATATTAATTGACATTTTTCATATCGGAATTTTCTTTTTCCCAAATTAATGGGGAGTCTTTTAACAAAAAAATATAAACCCCCAAAATAATATTTTTAATAAAAATTTACATACTCTTTTTTTACAGTCAGCCCAATTTTTTCTATATCTTAAAATAATATTAAATAAATGTCAGACTAAAAATTATTTAAAAATAATCTTTTTTCCATAGTCCCAACCCAATATTTTAATATTTTTCAAAACCCTAAAACCCATGAATTCTTTTTCTAATTCCAACTCAAAATTGTCGAATGTCCCGAAAACACAAACCTTTTTAATTCTTTTCACAATACAAATTATTAAGTTTATTTTGATAAACTTTTTCTTTTTTTTAAAACTCGAAATTT